GTGGGACGGGCCGGCAGGGTCTCAACGCCAGTAAGACGAGCGAGGAGATGTTGCAGCTGGCCACCAAACTGGCTGGCCAGTCCGGCCTGGACATCATCCGCATCCGCAAGCCCTTCCACACCAACAACCCCAGCGTCCAGGGCCAGTGGCACCCCCTCACCAACAAACCCTCCGCCCTCACTGTCCGAGGCCCGCGCCTGCAGCCCCAATAAAGCCTACACCCCATGCCTCCGCGTACATCTATCCTCCTGCCCACAGAGAGATGCTGCCACGCCACATCTAGACAGAGCCATGTTTATTGCTGGGGGACATGTGGGGCTGTGAACGAGGGCTGCCAGGCACGGAGGGTGATGCCCCTCCTTGGGGGGGTTGGTGCAGTGCTTGGGGGTGGATCTCTTCCCCCTTGCAGCAAAAACAAGGGTGGGGGCAGAATGGGAGAACCAACGCATCCAGTTTGCTTTTTCCCACTAAGCCTTGCTCTTTCCAGGGCAGGACAGCCTGGGCTTCAGCCCATTAAGGACTCCAGGGGCTGCCACCCCGCTCCTGCCCCCCACTACAGAGCTGAGCTCTGGGCAATGTCCTAATCCTGGAGATGCTGGTGAGGAATGCAGGGGAGGATACATATCCTTGCACATCTGTCCCTCCCCAGCTTCTCCACTGTTGCCACCCTGTCCCTGGGGCGTGAGATGCTTTTGTCACCCCGGTCCCTCAGGTTCCCCCAGGAGGTGGCAGGAGCAGAGGTAGTCGGGGGAATTTAGCGACAGTGGCAGCCCCTGGAAAGTGCCATGAAGAGCCAGAGGCCCCAGAGGGGGGCAGGCTCTGGTCCAGGGCTTCTCCTCACTGTGTGAGGACATTTCCCCTCCCACACATTGTTCCACAGGGGACAGGGCTGTGCCTGAACTCATTTCTCCAACAGCACCACATGCAGGAGTGCAGCAGCATGTGGTGTCCAGGGCTGCGGAGGCACTGCAGATGCCAGGGAGACGTGGGTGCTGCACTGGTCCCTTGCCAGGCTGTAGGGCATGGCGGTGGCTGCTGGTGCATCTTGCTGTCTGCTGCTGCATCCTGCTCTTCCCTGCAGTGCCCTGGGGGAAGTGGGCAGAGCCCTGTCAGGGTCGGAGGCCCCGGGGGTGCCACTTCCCCAGGGCACCCAGCCCTCCATTTCACCTGGGGCCTCCTCACAGTGGGCACACACCACTCCATCAGCTGCTCCGGGGCGTTCGGGGACATCGGGCTCCTCGCCCCGGCTCAGTCCCTCGCCGAATCATCCTCTCCCAGAGAGGAAACCCTGGGGGGGCAGACATGGGAGAGTGGGCAGGGGCTGACAGCCACCGAGTCCCCACAACATGAGATGCCACGTGCCAGGAAGGGACCCCGCACCCTACGAGAGGCACAGGCACCTCGGGGCAGCCCCCAGCCCCCCCTCCCCATTCCTCACCCACCTCTCAGCAGCTCTCTGGCTCCTGTGCGCTTAGGGATGCCCAGCGGGGCAGGCGGAGTCCACGTGTCCACAACATTTCTCATGCCTGGACGGACAGACAGACAGAAACTCCCTCCCCCTGGTGTCCACCTTTAGCCAGGCACCAGCTCCTGCCTCCAGCTCGTGGCCACCGTCAGTGGGTTTTTATACATAAATAGAGCTCCCAAATTTAAATAGATTATTTTTCTTTTCTCTTTTTCTGTACAGCGAGTCTCAAAAGTGAATGAAAAGCCAAAGGCTGAGCCTGGGCCCAGCCCAGCTCTGCCATCCAGGAGGTAGTTTTGCCTTGTAACACTGCTGGCAGGGGGTGGGGAGAAGGGTCTGGAGGGGAGGAGGGTCCCGCTGGCAGGACCCCCCTCCCGGCCCCTACACGGAGCTCTCATCCAGCTTCTCCACCAGCTGTGTGTGTTTCCGCTTCTCCAGCATCTTGCTGAGCTCCTCGGTGAAGGACGTGTTGTAGAGTGGTGAGGCCAGCGGCTCCTCCTGCTGCTGTAGCAGCATGTAGCTGTTGCCATTCATCTTGCGGAGGACGTTGGGCAGAGCCCCCACGCCGTTGGTGAGCTCAGCCGGCAGCGGCGGTGGTGGCGGCAGTGGGGGCCCAGCTGCTGGCAGCTCCTTCACCGGGGAGGTGGCAGCCGTGGGCGCCTCACCGGGGATGATCCGTAGGCAACCGTCAGGATAGGCGAGCTCCTCCTCCTCCTCCTCTGGGTGGCCCTTGCGCAGGCAGTTGGCTGAGACAGTCTGCAGCTCCACGCTGGATGGCCGCGGCTCCCCCAGGATGTACTTCCCCTTGCGCTTCTCCAGGCAGGACATGTAAAGGAGGCCAGCGCTGAGCACGGCGCATAGCACCACCAAGGCGACGATGGCAGAGATGTAAGCCACCTTCATGTCACCAGCTGCCTGGCTGGCAGCGTGGG